CTCGGTGGATAGGTGAGCACCGGGAACAGCCAGAGCACATTTTTGCAGCATGATGTAGCTCTGCGCTCCGTCACAGCATGAGCTCTACGAGGGTAAGGCTTAGGGCTGCAACTCCAGCCCAGAGCTGCTGCACCAACCCCCCCAGGAATGAGCAGACCAAACTCCATGAGAAAGGCCAGGTGGGCTGATTGGAGAAATAACAACATATGTGTCTGGTGGCACCTACTCACGGAAGCCAAAGCTTGCTTCACACTCAGTCCCAGCCCCAAAGCTTGCTACACTGTGAAATCGAAGTCAGACACCATCTTGTTGACTTGTGTGTAAGTAAGATGGCTTCACAGGGCTCTTCTCCCCACGCCTCCGTAATGCCACCAAATGACTGGGTGGGACTACGCAAACAGGGCGTGTGTGACAGTAACAGAGGGTCAGTTTGAATTACCAGAAGGAGGAACCAACTTCGACACAGGAAGAGAGACATCCCAGACGCACTGGAAGAGGAGATGCCCACACAGCACGTTTGAGATCTCGCTGAAGTGGTGGCGGCAGAGACCAGAGGCACCGGAGGCTGCAGCAAGGAGACCATGAGCCGGAACAGAGGAGCAGCGCCGAGACTAGGCGGCTGTGAGGCCTAGCACCGGGTTGGCTTCCTGGTCCACGTGTCCCGTGGCTGACAGGCTGAGGTCTGGAGGGAGGCGTGGCTGCTGGCTGAGGCAAGGTGTTGCTGGGGACCCATGACGGCCCCCTGGCTATTTATTGCTCCTGCTTTCCAGTAACCTGTTCCCTTCCCTCACCCCGCCCCCCCTTCATTATGAGTATTGCTGATGAATTCTGTGTGGCCACTGCAAGGGAGTGTTGAACCCAGCACAGAAGTAGAGTGTCCTGGGGACGAGCAAAGGTTAGTGTCAGACTAGGCGGAGAAGGATGAAGGGTGGTCGCACGTCTGACCCCCGCCTCTTGGCTATGGGGAAACCAGAGGGGGTCAGCTATGGTCCTGAGCCACTCTGTTTAAACGCCCAGGTTGGCAAGTCTTTGGAATAAACTGATCATAACCCACCTCTCCTTCCTGTTCCCCCACCCACCCCGGCAAATTACAATTAACAACACTCCATTCCGTCTGAAGACCCTGCTGGCAGGTCACCCTAACCCCGCCTCCTCCAGGCTGCACTTGGTGGGGACTAATTAATAAGCAATAAAACGGCCTTGCAATTTGGAAAGCTGCTTTGTTTGAGCCCCGATCTATCTGGGCAGGCTCAGGCCGGTTCACCCACAGGGGTCCTAATTAAAGGCTGAAAAGAAATGCTGAGGCAAAGCTGGCGAGGCAGCGCCAGACGTCACAGCGGCCCTGAGAACAGGCTGCTGAAGGCCCGGCCAGACAGAGCGACCTGCCATTGCATAAATTACTCCTATTAGAACCCAGGTTGCTGGCGCTGGGAAGGCGGCCACCAGAGCCCGGAGACACGAAATGCCGCAAAGTGAAGTGTGTCTGCATCCATCTACAAGGGACTTAAAATAGATGAGGAGACTTTCTGTGGCCGCGCCCTAAACCGCCATGTGACTGGAATGAAACCGTCGTTGCCCCATTCATCATTTCAAGGCTGGGAAGTGGATGGCGCTTTTGAAAGTCCATTGCCAGGGCCTTGGTGCACCTGGGAGTCCCTGGTGGGGCACAACTGGTTAACCACCTGGGCTCACCAGAAGTCTGGCTGTTTGCCTTCACCAAGAGTCCCATGGGGGGGAAGGAGGTCTGGAGTAAGGTGGTACCCCAAGCCAAACCCACCCCACTGCCATCGACTCATCGCAACCTCCGCTAGCATTTCCAAAGCCGTGCGTCTTCACGGGAGCAGGCAGACTCCTCTTTCTCCCACGGGCTGGCTGGTGGGTATGAACAGCTGACCTTTCCAATGCGTGGCACCGGGCCAACCCTCAGCCACAGTTAGCTCCTGTTGCAACTGGAGTGCTGATTCAGATCCTGGGGGTTGGCCCAGGGGGCCAACAGCTCCAAGGGTCCCTTGCAGACCACCCCACAGGGCCACTGCTCCCTGGGAACCCAGATCCTCCGTGCTGGATGTATCATCTGAACCTTCATCTTGCCAAGCTGCCGATCCATGTTGGCGGTCCAATGGACAGTCATTGTGTATGATGAAAATAAGGTGCCGGGGGTTGATCCCACGCAGCGGCTGTGCAGGAGAGAGACCCAGTAAGCTGCCTCCACAAACGACAGCCGAGCAAACCCTATGGGACAGTTCTAACCCTTAACACCTGGAGCAGCATGAGTCACAATCAACTCAGCAACCTAGCAACAGAGTAACAACCACAAACATAACAAAAGCAGCCTGTCGCTGTCAGTGCCTGGGGTACATCTGCTGCACCCCACCTCCGGAAAGCACTGATAAGCACGGCTGTTACTTTGAGGACTAAAGTACGCCTGACCCAAGCCCTGGGGTTTTTCCATTTTGCCTCACAGGCATGTGAACATTGGGCACTGAATAAGGAAGGCTGAAGGAGAATCGGTGTGTTGGGATCATGGCGCTGGCGAAGAATATCGACAGTACCATGGACTGCCAAAAGGACAAGCAAATCCCTCTTGGAGGAAGTACATCCAGATGCTCCTTAGAGGCAAGGATGACGAGACTTCGCCTCACGTACTTTGCACGTCGCCAGGAGAGACCAGTCCCTGGAGAAGGACACCGTTTGGTCAAGTAGAGGGGCAGCGAACAAGAAGACCCACCATGAGATGGATTGGCACCGTGGCTGCAACAATGAGCTCAAACCTCACGATCTGTGAGGTCGGCGCAGGCCCGGCGATGCTTAGTTCTGTGGTAGGCCAGGTGGCTCTGACTGAGTGGACAGCCAATGACAGCAGAGCACCAACTGGAGGAAAAACCGAGTCCTTCCGTAAGGACTTGGAATCTCTGAAACCCCACAGAGCAGTTCTACTCTTTCCTCGAGGGTCAAACTTGCTTACATGGGCCCCCTTCGTCCTACGAGCTCAGTGATGTTGTCCCCAAGAAAGGATGAGGGAAGTGAGGCTCAGAGATGAAGCAGCTTGCCCATGGTCTTGCAGGGAGACAGCAGAAGACATCAGATTCCAGCCCAAGGAGTCTGGCTCGAGTCCACCCTCTTAAGTACGGGACAGGGCCTGCCTCGGGCCCTGCAGGAACCTAGTGGTGTGGTGGGTTAAGTGCTGTTTCCCTTCTGTTTAAGTAATGGGCCTGGTTTTTCCCCATCATCCCTCCTACAACCAAAACAGGAGGGTTTTGTTAATCATTTAGCAACCTGGGGCCCTACAGATATGGGAAATGCTATAGACTAACTCTCTCTCCAAGGGTGGGGGGGCGGGATTCCAGCATACGGAATTTAAGCAGGCATTTCAGCACCTCTTAGCCTCCTTACAAATACTAATGAGTTGCCAGCTCTGTGCCAGGAAGCACTGGTAGCCTTAGAGGCAAAGAATTCCAGTCCTCCATCTAGGTGTGTCCTGGATTCTAATTTTAGCCAAAGCGTTTCCTGGGGACCCAGCAGCCATCAGTGAAGGTTCTCATGTTGCTATGGTGCCAAACTGGTTCAAAGCAGAGCTGCCAGACTCAGAGAGACTAGGACGGAAGGCCTGGCAATCTATTTCCATAAAGCAGCCAATGACCTCCCTATGGATCTCAAAGGTCTGATCTGGGGATGGGTGGGCAGTACTTCCTTTCACTGTGCATGGGATGGCCATGATTAGCAGGGGTGGGGGTAAGGAGTGGGGGCACTGACTCAGCAACAGCTGACAGCAATAACAGTGTGTCAGGCACCAGTGATAGAAACAGAAGGTGGGGAGCGGGCAGGAGGCAATGCAAAGTAGCCACTGTCCTGCCTTCCCAAAGCCCAGAGCTAGAAGGGAAGGCAGATGACTGTATGGCCAGGTGGAACCATTTCCACTGAGCCTACTGGAGACTTTAGCCCAAGTTGCCAGGACCCAAGTTGGTCCTTCAAACAACACTAGCCCAGGAAGAAAACCCATAAGTCAAGGATTAGACTCTTCCTTATTCTTCTATAAGCAAGTTGTCCTGTCCGGACACACACCCCTTCCCTTCCGTGGTCCCTTCAAAGGACCAGTCCTTCACACGTGCGAGCATTTGCCTCTGGGTGTGGTGCTCACTAGCTATTGTGTGAAGACTAGTCTGCATATCTCAACTGTCCAGCTGACCATTAGCGGCTCTTCAAAGGTCACCTTCACCATTGAAGTCCCGGGCTCCAAACTGGCTGAGACACTAAAGGATCATCTTTATACTCCTTTAAACCTTTTTCCTCAGCCACACAGTGATTTCCTCAAGGTCAGGGATGCTCATCTCTGCATGCCCAGTTCCTAACATACACAATGAATGTTATCTGATTGGATGGAGATGTGGATAGGTGGGTGGATGGATGGATGGAAATGTGGATGGGTAGATGGAAGGATGGATGGATATGTGGATGGGCGGATGGATGGATGGATGGATATGTGGATGGGTGGCGAGATGGATGGATGGATGGGTGGGTGGATGGATGCATGGATGGAGGAAGGGATGGATAGATGGAGAGACAGAAGGATGGGTTTCTCCCTATGTTGTATAGGCATACTCATTTTTTTGCCCTTTGCAAACAGTGTGCTTTTTGCAAATTGAAAGTTTGTGGCGACCACGAGCAAGTCTCGGTGCCATTGTCCCGACAGCATGTGCTCACTTTGTGCTGTGTGTCCCACTTTGGGCAGCCTCGCGGTATTCCAAACGTGTTCATCATGCATTTGCACCCTTGGCAGAGCACATTTTGGCATAAGCACAGCTTTCCTGTGTGTGGGGAACCTGAGAAATCAATGTGGTGTGCTTTACTGCTGTGGTCTGGAATGGCCCCCGCAGGGAATATCTCTAAGGTTATGCCTGGATGGGTGTCCAACCAAGTAAAGACATAAGTCAATCTTAACACACCTCAGTTCCCAGGGTCAAACTCCAAAGAGATGCCGGCTTGGCGTCTGCAAGACTCACCTCATTCCTTCGGAAGCCATCTTATCAAGGTTGGTGGTCATGGGCTTCGCGTCGGCCCAGTTGGCGCCCAGATCACCCCACCCCATGTCATCGGCCAGGATGATGACAAAGTTGGGTCTCTGGCCCCCAGTTTTCCTATCGATGTGAAAATCCACAAGGGGGTAAAAAAATCCCAAGAAACTCAACCCCACCATCAAAACCTTTAGAAAAAGCCAGGCCATGGTGGTACGGAGAGGACCCCGGTTCTCGAGAGGGTGATGCAGGGCACCCCTAGAGGTGATTCCAAGAGTTCCTTTCGGGTCACTTTTGATGCTGGATGCTTTCCAAGAGCGGGAATGGGGTTTGTGGGAAGAGAGGGGGTGAGTGGGGGCAGCAGGGGTACTGACAGTGAAGGGTTAGGGAGGCTGGGGGCTACTGAAATGACATCCCCATTGGAAATCCTTCTTTGGGGGCGGTCGGGATCCTTGCACTCGCCAAGATTAGTGTCCCCTGTGCAGTCAGTGTAATTCTACCAAAGGCAGCCGCGAAGTAAAATGACCAGTGATGTCCATGCAGCAGGGCTTGATGTCAACGGCTCTCCTTCACTTGGGTTCGATGGCCCAGTTCATGTGGCACGGCCACTCAGAAAGTGACCTTCTATGTTGAGCGGGACGCTGGAGACGTAGCTTAGGCCCTGCATCTGTCTGGGATTCCAGCTGGCGCACCCTGGCTCACATGTGCCAAACACCTGCATGTTCTAGAAGCCGCCATTGGCCCCAGATGAGCGTCCCCGTTCCAGGCGGCCCAGGGCTTCAGGTTTCCTGAAGGAGCAAAAGTTGACAAGAACACAGTGTCAGGGCAGCCAGGGCAGCTGTGTTGTAGTCGGTAGCTTAGGAAATAATCGCTTTTCCATGCCAACAGATGGTTTCCTGCTCACTCAACTAAGTGGCTCATCCATCTCCCCACCTGAGAAACAGCAATGATCCCGTCTGCATGGGGCATGGAGTCACAGGACTGGACACAGCACCAGCGACAGTCTCTCTCCACCCACTCACTGCCCAGGTAAAAAGCCTGCCGGTAGTGAGGGCTGGCACTCAGCTCTGCTCCCAACCCCCACCCTCTGCCCATCACCACCCCTCCCTGATTCACAAAGGATATTCCCAAGCTAGTCATGGCCTTATCAAACCCACTGGAAATTCCAGGGGAAACAATGAGGCCCTACCTGTCACCAAGAGTGGAGACTTGGTAGCAGGCAAGCAGTGAACAAGTATATCGTCATAGGAGAGTCTGATAAAAACTAATTTTAGGGGAAACAAACAATCTTTAAAAGCAGATGGCGCTATATGAGTCTTTACTGCACTGTTTCAATTTTGTTGTAGGTTGGCAAAGTTTATATATACATATGAATGAAAAGGACATTCTTTAGATCCTGATAGTGCCGCCTTTAATAAGAAAAGCTAAGGCCACCCAAGACCTGTGCTTCCCACACTTGAACGTGCATAGGAATCAGCTGTGGAGTGGATCCAAACGCACCTGCAGTAGGAATGCTGGGGGCTGGGATTCAAACTCCTGGGTGTCTACACTGGAAGCCCTTGGACCCCGCCTTAAGTAACAAAATGCTAGAAAACAAAAACAGCCTGAGTCTGGTCTTAGAAGAAAAGGGAAACTGCTCAGCCTGCTTGAACAGGATTTCGCTTCCATGGACAAGCCCAGAAGCAAAGAATCAAATCAAATGGAGGTCTTTGTTTTGGGTTGTTTCTGTTCAGATTGTTTTGAAAGACAGGAATTAAAGGTTGCAAATGAAGCAGAGGCTGAAACCCTATTACTCCTCCTTCACTTAAAAGCTCTACATTTATAAGATTATCCAAGGAGCCCTAGGAGTGCAGCGGTTGCATATTGGGGAGGGAGAGAGAGAGCAAGAGTGCTCTTGCTGGCTGACAGAAAGTTTGGTTGTCTGAGCCCACTCAGCTGCTCTGTGGGAGAAAGAGGCCCGGTGATATTCTTCTATAAAGATTATTGTTACTGTGTCTTGGTTGTAATCTTTACGGAAGCTGTCACATCCTTCGCCCATGGAGCAGCTGGTGGATTCAAACCACTGACGTTGTGGTTGACAGCAGAGCACTTAACCTTTGAGCCATCGGAACACCTTAATGATTGCAGTCAAGAAAAGTCATTGGGTCTGTTCCACGCTATCACATGAGGTCTCAATGAGTTAGCATTGACCAAACAGGGCCCCAAAGCAAAGAGACCCAGGAATGAGTGTTCTGGATCACGTAGCAGACTCAGTTGAATATTCAACCGATGGAGATGAAAGGAGAACCCATGTGCAACACACAAGCATGTTGCCAAGGCTGGGCTTACAGCACATGCTAGCCCAACTCTGGAGGGAGGAAAGGCCAGCTGGCTAAGCCAGTCACTCAACCAATGGTCAGCCCTAGTGGGTGGGAGAGGCTGGAGGTATATCAATTCTGGAAGACCAGGCTCAGCTCCAAAGGATGGGCAGAAGCACACGTCATCAAAATAGCAGGACGCCCAAGTAAACAGTCCCGGTGACCTGGCGGCCAATGAACCCATTGTTCACAAATGCAAATTCTTCCTTCTCCCCAAAGGAGCTGTTATTTCAGACTCAATTCGAAGCAACTGATCTTTGTTGATCTTGAGGCCCCAAAGACTTCTAGAAGAGTCCATGCACAAAGAGGCGCTTAACCAACACTTGCTGACTGGTTGGTTGATTCCCAGCCTCCTTCTCTTGGCTTTGGAGCACGAGCAGCAGTCACGGGAGGCTTTGCTTCTTAAAGCTCCTTAGCTTAGAACAGTGGAGTAGCCTCATTCCTGGTCAATAATCCATTTTGGAATGACCTAATGCAGAAGACTTGAGGCAAAAAAATTCGCTTTAAGAAAAGCTGAAATTAAAGCGGGAATATAAACAAACAGATTTGGTCTTTCTGTAGAGTTCCGTGATAAAAACATTCCTTTGAGAATTTTTCAAAGGGAATCATTCATATTTGGAATTTTCATAGGATGGAAATAATTTAGCCAGTGTTCCATTGCATTATTCTTCATGCTCACTTCTCCAAAGAGACGTTTAATCCTCTATCTATTAATGAAAGGAAAAAGGCAAGCCAGACATTCCGAGAATGGGCTCCAAGCTCTGGATTTTGATTAAGGTCCAAGTTGAGACTGTGAGCTCAAAGGCCCTGGAGAAATTGACCCGAGTTTCTGCCCTCTGATCTCATCTGCTCTTACTTCTTCAGTATTTTTTCTTTCTCTCTTTTTTTTAAAAACAAAAACTAATTAAGCTAAACTGTTAGTTCGCTAAACAATAGCTTCATGGGATAATTTTGGTTAATTCAAAGTTTAAGGATCAGTTCTGGGCAATACATTTAGGGGCTCCCCCAATCTCAATAAAAGCAGTAAATTTGGTTTCCATATGAATCTGAAGTTCTGTTCCTGGATTGTGCTCCTTCTTGATCTGAACCCAACGATTGGGTTCTTGATCAAAGCGTTCTTCTGGTCTCCTGGCAGAAAAGGCGATGGAACCTGCAGTCTGTGTCCCCCACCAGTTCTTGGGGCTCCTTCTAACTCTGCTGTCTCTGGGGAGCAGAGGTCATCTTTGCACCTTGGGCCGGCTGCCACTCAGAAGCTGCTGAGTGTGCTACTCACTGAGGAGGAAGGTGTCTGCGTCACCCTCTGATTTTCAGAAAGAGGAGGCCTGTGTGAAGCAGACTCTTCTGGACTCAGGAA